ACGCGAGGGTCTGACGTTTGTCACATTTGACGTTTTGAGAGGGATGTTTAACTGCATCTAGCACGAAAGTGACAAGTGCCTGTGACAGATGACGCAAGTTATAAATGCCATTCTCCTGCAATATTGCCAAGTCGTTATGTCATCTGAATGGTTCTAGGAGCTGATTGGTCGGGCTTATTACGTCACAGAGCCCGCCACAATCATATCGTTTTGAATAAACCTTTAAAACCGCACATGTTCATTATTTTATTGCTATACTGTAAACCCCCATTGTGAAAAAAATTGACGTTGAAGCTCAACATGGAACTGATTATAGAGTTCAAAGCAATACGCTACAAAACAATACAAGTTTTGTACAAAATATGAACAAAATTACGAGTAAATCTTTCATTAAAAATAATTTGAGTTTTCTAGCACAGTATATCCTTCTGTGCTTCTCGCTCTTAAAGTAGAATGACTACAAAGGCCAAAAATTAAACAATTTAATACAAAACTTTTGATGAACTGATTTGAACACCTAATTAAAATTGAAACAATGAGTAAACAATGACTTCTGCCAGAAAAAATTGATGAATTGACAACAATGGGAAGCCCCAACACAATATTTTATTATTTTGTTGAATTCTGTATCAGCAATGCAGGTTTATGCATTAAATATTGAACAAGACGAAATGAGTTTTCCTTACCGGGGCACTTGAAAGCTTGAAAATCAAACTTTCATTCGAGCAAACAAATTACCAAACACTTCAGGTCCCAATTGGACAAAATAAATTAGAGGGCAGGACTTCAAAGATTTAAAAAAGTTTAAAGAGCATATTTTCATGCCCTTAATAGCCATTTATACTCAAATTCAAATCAAAATACCAAACTTTCGCATAACGATTTTAATTACAGGCGATCAACTACATATGGACCATATTTTCTTAGCTAGTACTGCAACAGTGCCATACCCTTAATACATCTAGCTTAAATTAGGGTTGGTGCAACTCAACTTTCATGGAAAAAAAAACTCATTGCGCCATAACGCCACCTTTAATGAAAAACGTATGAAGCGTATCTTAATCCATCTAATTTATAAGTACGTCGTTAAAAGTTGTAATTTATTTTCGAGTTTCAAAGAGTTTTAGCGCTCGAATCGAGAAAGAGGATCAAATGTAGGTAATAAAAAAGAGCAATAAATTTGAATGTTAAGATTTAAATTTCAGGATTGGATTTTGAGAAAGAGTTCTTAAAGCTCGTGTGCGTAATTCAAGGGAGTTGTTCCATAATTTGGGGTTGATTAGACATTCTACGCATGCATAATACAAAATCCGCAACTTGAGTTAATAATTGAATGTGTAACGCACCTTCTGCACGCCAAATTGTGTGCTATAAATTCAATTAAGCATGTCACATTAAACAGACCGAATGTCTACCCTGTCAAGGCGCTTACATTTTCTATTTATTTGGAATTTTGGGGGGAATAGCTCCAGTTTTCGCAGCAATTAGAGATAAAATAAAATAACTACGTCTTTTTTTCTATCTTACAAGAGTAGTAAGGTATAACTTTTCAATTTACAACCCTGTATCGTAAAAACAAACGGAGATTGATTCTGTTTGTGGTATTAAAAGTTTCACGAAAAGGTGTCCAGGATCGAGAAAACAACCCGTTCGTAAAACAGCTGAGATACACTACAGTTTCAACAAGCGGTTAAGAAAATTTGTTAATACACGGTCCAACTGTGAAAAATCGAGCACGAGCGGAGTATTTAAAGAAACACATTAATTTTAGCGCAGTATAAATTAAATTGTGCTATGATAAACAAGTACCTACCTTTCTCTTCCAATATCTATTTAGCTATTGCTTGATTTTGATTCATAAAAAGAAATGCCTCTTTCGTGATCACGTGTTTGTGCTAAATTTGACCCTTATCTAAACACAATAAATTACTGATACATTCTTCTGTCCAAAATATACACATATCTCTAAATGCAAAATTAGGAGTATCACTGCAATTAAATGAAATATTGTCAATCAATGAAGCAAAACGACCCAAATGTTTTTTTCTCAACAATAAGTACAATGTTGTAACGAGTGGTTTGATTTCGCGCCAAATTTCATTAAAAATTTCGAAATTTCTTGTCATGATAGTGAAGGTCACCCTGTATATTTCATTATTTGTTCCGGTTAGAAATTTTGTGTTTGGGCATTTCGGTTCGCTCAAGACTATGGTCCGATAGATTTAATTTCGCTCAGATTTAATTTCGTCGTGGGAAGAGTGCAAAGCTGATTGACGTCATCATGAGTAATGCGAGTTTTTTGTCGTTCGTTTATCAACTTTGGCGCCGTCTAGACCGAGAATAGGAGCGGATGTAGCACCGAGCCGTCAAGAGATAAGGAGTTTTCACGTCATCAGCAGAAAACCGTGAGATCAGTTTAGTCAGCAGTTCCTTGAGGTTGACGACGAAGTTAGAGTGGGTTAAGTTTTCTTTATCTGAACCAATGGGAGAATTTCTAGCGGGAGCCATTTTTGTTTTATGGTAATTTGGGTGTGGTTTTTTCATTTCAATTCTGAAGAAGGGGATTGCGTTTTAGAGGGGACTCGCGGTTAGTACGTCGAGGGGTCAACACGTACTTTGAGTGATCGCGTTTTGGAGAGCCTCGCGGTTAGTACGTCAAGCGGTCAACACGTACCTTGAGCGATCGTTTTGGTACACTTGGCGGTTTGAGCCACCGGCTTATTTCGGTTGCTCCCAGTTGCGTGCTTTTTGCACCCGTTCCGAAGTGTTATTTTCTTTTCGCGTTGATTTTTTTGGCGAAGAAGACCCAGGTTCCAATCAGGTGATATTTTGGCGAACCCTTGAGCTTCATCCCAGTTTACTTTGGATGCAGTGAATCGCGTTAGGATACGTTGTGATTTCTCGAGGATATATAAGTCAAAGTGCTGTCCTAGTCCTCAAGGCGCAGAATTTCGGGATCCGCCCCAGGTGGAATTTCCTACTAGTGCCGTAAGGTCATTTGTCGAAGGAGCGCTGCGTTTCGGAGAGATATTTGCCCCAAGAAGAGCTGGTGAAATAATACTTTGAACCATCGCGGTTTACCGTCGGATAGTGATCATAAAAGTTTGTGTTCTGCCGTACCGCTAACTCAAAAATCCGTCTCCCGCAGGCGGTCAAAGCTAATAAACTAATAAAATAAAATTAATACACGTGCTGTGTAGAAACTTTGGCAACTAGCCGTCTCCCACTCGCCACGCGAAGGATTTCCTGGACTAAGTTTCCGTTCAAACACTAAACTTTGCTTTCGTTCCGAGGAAGGATAGGCACCGTGGATTTTTGTTTCCGTGTGTTAAATTCAAGCCACCCCCTAGGAAGTCACAGAGACCTAAGTGTCAGGTTTCATCACATCCACCCTGTACCAGAGGAAAGAGCAGTTCACAAGATCGGCTGTACAAATGTTGTAAAGGTTAGTCTAAATTAAATTTGTAATATTCTGTAAAATTCCACTTTTTGGTAATTAAGCTATAGTAAAAAAATTTTTGATTTGATTGTTTATTAAAGTCCAATGAACGATTACCAAAGAGTAGGATAAATTTTTGTGTTTATTTAAATAAGTCCCAGCCCACGCTGGATTAAAAAACGATTACCTGTTGTTGCAATTTTCAAACTGTAGAGGATGGCCACCCCTTGAGTAAATTAGTTTCACCTGATAGGATTTTTTATTTAGTTTAGTTGTCATTGTTAAGCTAGTGGTTTTACAAGGAGGAGAGAAGAACTGCTAGATCCCTGTAAATTGTTTGTATCTCTAATATCATTTCAATATATTATCTATTTGGTTCCAATGTGCCTATGTCTTTAACGAAGAACGAGGGGAAGGAAAGGGAGGAGTAGGAGTTGAGGCAGGAGATTGGTAGGCGGCAGGTCAAGGTTTGTTACGCAGTTTCAAAAGAGTTAAAAGCCCACCGATTTGAGTTAGCCGGAGCATTTATTTTTATCGATTGAGCAGCCTAAGAAGAAGACGGTTTGCCTTGCCGGGCGGAACCGATGGTAATCTTCAAATCCAGAAGGAACCCCCGTAGCAATGTTTGATGCAAATGTTTCTCACGGGTCGATTTCTTTAGGAATATTAAAATTTATTCAAACAAAGCTATTATAAAAGCAAACCGGCTTCAAATTCTAGAATGCAATACTCGAGATCATGCACAGAGATAAAATGCCAAATTTTCCCGTGTGCTGATATTAATTTTGCCCAATTTGTTAACTAGTTTTTATTGCGGGTAAATGCACGGATTAATATTCTGTAAATTTCCTGCCGTATACCGTTGTATATTGGTGTTATATGCGTCACACAACTCGAAACTACGAAAAACCTCCTTGTTAATGTCAATTAATTGAAATATCGTAACACTTGGTGTCGAAACGGATTGGTTTATTCTCGTAGATTTTTGATCGCTCGAAAATAAACGGCTTTACTATAATCTGGCCCAACCTCCTATTTTCACGCACAATTAAAATTGCAGAAAATTCACACTATTTTTACCCGAAGCTAAACGGCTAATTGTTCACTATTATTTGAATAAATTTTTAACTAAATGCACGTTTTGATTCTTGAATTTCGACCGCAAACCTTCACGCATACGCGAAATCAAAATTTCTCGTACACAAAATGGTAAACGCCTGCTTCGCATTTAAAATGGTACGTGATGGTTCGCGGAAATCGACTTAGAATGGATTTTCAACAATTTTACACACAAACAGTGTAACTCGTCTTCAAGTATAATTTTTAACGCAGGTTTCGACTCGCGAACTTTCCTAGAATTGTTAAATGTAGGACAATTTATCGTTTATTTTGTTATCAAAACTTGGATTACTTTTGTTAAGTAAAAAAAAGTTAACACTGCATTTAGTGGGGTTAATTACATTTACTTTTTACAAAATGGCGTATCTATTTCTCGGTGCCTGCTAAGCCTTATCAATCATTAATCAAGTTGCGCCCATTTAAATCCTCACTCAACGCTAATAGTCAAGTGGGCTTATGTTAAATTAGCATTGTCTCACATGTTGGCATGTCTAAATAAAGATGAAGAATAGACTACAACAGTTTATGGTAAATACACCCCCCGCATCACATACACTAATGTTATCATTCTAAGCCCGATGACAAATACCAAGACAAGGTATTACTCGGCAACTGGGTGGAAAGGAGACGATCATATGTCAAACATCCGCATGACTTCAAAACAAACTACTCCATCGACTACTGCCCCAAGCCCAACACGACGAATGATCCCAAATTCCTAAGAGATCAGCAGTATCGAGGACTGGTACGAGCACGCACATCGTACTCACCCTCAGCTTTGAATTCGTAGGGCTACAACGCGCGAGTGCTATATGATCACCAAGGTAACACTTTTCTGGAGAACAAGTCCACCACGTACGACATCTCCTACAATCATCTTCCCAAAAAATCTCCCTGCGGTCCATTGCCGCGCGAAATTCGATTCCGAATGGGACGATACGAACCCGAACAGGATTATGCTCAAAATTTTGTAACAACCGATACTATAACAGTGGCAGTGCGTGACTTCTTTCTGTTCAGGGTAACGTGACCAAAACCGGTCTGCTGGACTATTACAGGGAGAAATGGAGATGCGAAATTCAAGACCCTAGGAAAACGCTGCAGTCGTCTTACAAGGAGACTTTCACCGCGCCGAAACACGAGCGATCGCCGAGCTGGGGGATTCCGCTGTACGCGCTTCGGTCGCGGTGTGCTTTAATTAATTGGTTTTTTTGTAGCGCAAATTCGTCCGCAATGGAGGCTAGCAACAGGAGATTGTACCACTTACGGCTTAGAGGCAAGCAAAGGCTTGCGGTGCCTGAGAAAGTACTGGTTCAGCTGCCATACGTGCGGAGATGTAACCCAATCACTTGGGAGTGTCCCAAACATATGTAGTGGTTTTTTTTTCGGTTATAGTAGGGTAGAGAAATTCATTCAGAACTTTGGAAAAGTGATCCTCTACAATAAAACCAATTATATCATCCCGTTACACGCTGTATGATGAAGTGATCCAAAAATATGAAATTATCTTTCATTCCAGGCGTCCGGATGCTACCCCAAAAACAATTCGCGGTGGATTCTTATAAATAGGAGGGTGTCTTTTTCAATTTTCTACCTAATGGAAACCGTGCGAAGTTGATTTTATTTCTCTACGTAACTACATCTAGCGTTTTTCTAGCTGTTTCATTCCCACAAAAAAATCAACGCAAATTTGCGACCCTTGAAATTGTTTTGACATCACCTTAGTATGCGTCCAGGCAAGGGATCGCTACTACTCTTCTTAACAGGCAATACTGTAACGTAAACTTAGGCCTAAGGGCAACCTGATGGCGCCCCGATCTCGCTCTGAAATATTCGTTACAATACCATCAAGAATTTCGACTGTGTAACTAATAACATCGTTTGCCATTATCGATATTACAATGGACAGTATGAATACGCAGTACGGTATCAAATAAAAAACAACTTTCTGGGTTTCTCGCTATAGGAAAGTCTTTGGTTGGCTGGTCACGAGTTCAATGAGTCCCTTCTTTTTGCTCTTTGACAAGTCGTCCCGATTTGTCCACAAACGTTTTTGCATTTCGCAACAACAGAATAAAACTGTGGTTTCTGGTTTCCAATTCAATTCAATCTAATATTAGTCCCAAATAATTACATTTTTCTTTAGATTTAATGAATTTTGTTTCTTCCAAAAAACCGACCCGGAACAGTTACTTTGTGGACATCCTCTTTGAACATTTCTGTCAATTGTTTATGTTGTTATATAAAATTGTGCTAATCTCTTATATACAGGGATACAGGGATATAGTATATATCTCGGTAAATATCGACTGTATACAAAATTTTTCTATATGAAAGTTGTTTAACATTTTATTTCCCATAATAAGGCATCATTCAGTTGTTTTTATTTCACAAAACAAATGAATACCGAAAAACAATTGAATTTTTTTAAATAGCATTGCGCAGTGCACACTTTCATTAGGCTCTTTTCATAAGAGATTTTTTTTTCTCTTTCTCTTTTTCCTTCGGGAAGGGACTGGCAGCCAAACCATGGACAAGCGACTTTTCCCAGCTGCGATAGCACTTGTGGGAATTGTATGGATGATAACCTTAGCCAACCCTTTCTCGGCTCCCCGTGAGGGGGGAAGAACAACCCGGGCCCGCAAAATGGAAACCGGTAACGGGACAGGCTCCTCGAAAGAAGGGACCGGGTCCAACGCAGGGCCTTATTCATGAACCTAATAGTGGGCAGAAGGTGATGCCCAGGAAGCGCCAGCTCCAGGATACAACTACGGGTCAAGCAGGCCCTGCTCAGAGGTCAATCCGACGTCAGGGACCAAGCGTCTCAGATCGGAGAGAAGCACTCCAGGGTCTGGCTCAGTGCAGCCTAGAGGTTCTGGAGCACCCAACGTTGCAGGTGCACACAAACCTCTGGACAAGCCGCTGCGGCGTGGCGCAGGATGGCCATTGTTCCGGTGTCGCACCCAAAGGTGGACATAACTGAGCCTCGGGACCTAGAGGATCTTGGACTGAAAGTGAAGAGGCACGTCCTTAGCGTAACCAAGATTACTGTGTTATACGGGCTCCCGGATGACACGGCCACCATCTGAAAGCGCATCCAGAGCCAAAATCATGCATTCGGGACGATTCTATGGAGAACGTTCTTCCGCAGGGTGTCGATGAGGCATTCTAGCCAGAGCTGGGCAGAATACTTTCAAAAAGTATTTGAATACTAAATACTTTTACATCCAGCACAAGCGAATACTAGATACAGATACATTGAAAAGTATTCAAATACTTAAAAAAATAAGTATTCAAATACTTTAGAATGTATTCGAATACTTTCAAAAGTATTCGAAAATTTTCAAAGGTATCCGAACACTTTCAAAAGTATTCTAATACTATCAAAGGTATTCGAATACTATAAAAAGTATTCCAAGATTGGACTACTAGTTCAAAAGTTACAACCCTTTGAATTTTTTTTCGATATTGGTTTCTAGTCTATAACTTTCTATTGAGAAGTCTGATCGAAAAAGTACGAATTGCTTTTGATTCTACGCACCAAAATTAATAAGAAAAAGTGTTTTCTCGAGAAAGTTTGGTGCAGTCGATTTTTAGTAAAAAAAGGAAGGTTATACTCTGCCTTTTTGTGAGGTCCGAAAAAAAATTGTCTCACATCGACCCGGAAAAAAAATTTTCTTGTAGAATGTGGCCTGCAGAATCCATAATTTCAACCAGTTCCAAGATTTGGCTACTAGCTCAAAAGTTACAGCCCTTTGAATTTTTTTTCGGCATTGGTTTCTAGTCCATAACTTTTGATTGAGAAGTCTGATCGAAAAAGTACGAATAGTTTTGGATTCTACGCACCAAAATTAATAAGAAAAAGTGTTTTCCCGAGAAATTTTGGAGTAGTCGATTTTTGGTAAAAAAAAAAAGGAAGGTTAAAGTATTCAAATACTATGCGAAGTATTCGAATACTTCTCAAAGTATTCAAATACCTTGCGAAGTATTCGAATACTAAATATTTGTGAAAGTATTTGAGTTGCTTCCATAAAAGTATTTAATTACAAAGTATTTGAATACTTTAAAGGATTTGAATACTAAAAAGTATTTACAAAATCGAATACTGCCCAGCTCTGATTCTAGCGGTATAGAAATTACAAGGTAAGGCGTCTAGATTACTACCGGCACCCTCTGGTCGAGAAAGATGTGGACGAGCTTTTGGATCGTGTAGCGGTTCTTGGATTTGACCAGGGATTGAGGGAACCGTCGGCATCACTAGGAGAGGAAGGAACCTAATACATCAGTGATGGACGAGGTGAGATTCTTATAAAGCAATTAGCAGCATAGTAACCTTGGGTTTACAGGGGATGCGTAAGAGACCAGATGGAGGACTCTCTTTATTCTAAGAGGAATAGCCAACTGATTTTAAAACCTCTCGTTGCCCTCCCCCCCCCCCCCCCCCCTAGGTATTCATTTCGCAACTCCACGACAAAGATATCTTTGCCCACGGTTAAGCCGACGCCTGCGTATACTCTTATCGCAGTTTACCAATACACCACTGCTTGTATGGTTGCCTGCCATGCGTGTACCTGGGAACCACTGGAGCCATGAAAACCACACCAACTTTGGCCATGGTGGTGCTTCTAGGACTAGAGCCTTTACCCTAAGCTTTGGAGGAGGACCAGGATTAGACTGGGTGATGTCAAATCCAGGCTCTGTAGCAAAAAGCAACCGGACTCAGGTCTCAGACAGTCCATGGCCTCTTTTTAACAGGGTTCCTTGGCAATTCTGGATCTTCTAAGCTTATAAAACTGAATAGTGGGCCTAAGTGTTGCCTAGTCGGGCTCTCCTTATGAATAGAATAAATTAGACAACCGATGTCCGCAGCAACATTATCAATTTGCCTAGCCTAGGCCTTAGTGAGAGTATCGAAGATGTTCTTGCATTTTTCTTTTGGAGTTTCAATTGGTATTGTACCCACATTGATAAGCGTTCTCTGGATTCTCCCTCCTTGAGTACAGTTTCTCTAACAGTGAGCATCCCCCCCTGAATGTTCCAGCTGAAATGTTCAATAGGTACCTCTGGAAGTACAAATTCCAGTAACATCCTTAAAAAGGGAAAAGGGGCAGAGGGAGCATGTTAAATGCTGAAGGGGTAATAAAGTAAAAACTAAATATTTGTACAAATTGATTTTATTAATAATATAGGGCAGTGTTAATGTCGAAAAGGCTTAAACTTAAATAACACGCTACACAACCTAAAAATTACACTTACGTACCATTAAACTTACAAACTAACAAAAATAATTCATTCAAAATATCACAAAGTTACCTGAGACATAAATGCAGTTCAGTTAAATTTTTTATACCCCGCACTCTGGAACTGTTGTTTATTAAAACTTTCGTTATAACTTGCATCGAAAATCCCATTGGAAAAATTCTGTCTGAGTATCTCATACAGGTCTCCCGACTGTAAATAGTTGGGCGAGATGTAGACCAGCTGCTCATTATTGATTAAGGGACGGTACACCGAGCCCCCACACGAATATTGTGGGCAACACGTGTGATTGAAAGGCGACTGTGGGCCGATATTACAAACCGGTGGCGAATAAAATGAGTTGCAAGCAAATCCAGCAAAGTTACTTTGGGAGGTATACAGATTTCGGGAGTTCTGCGATTGGTTGGTTTGATAATTATCAAATTGAAACCGGGCTGGTGAAATAACGGGTCTCGGACGTTCTAAAACTGGCCAAGAAGTTTTGGGGGGAGATCGTTTAAGGGGCGTTGTGCCTATGTGTAATTTGTTTAAGCTTACATCTAAGTCTGCGTTATTAACGAATAAGTTTTCGGCAGGAATATGCTGCCCTCTCTTATCTTTGAGGGTAATTAGTGGGGTGTCATTAACTAATTTGCTAATAAAGCATGACTTGTCTGTTACGGTCGGTTTAGGGGTGTCATCTTCAGCAAAAATCGTCTTTTGTTTAATTTTCTTTTTGAGCAGCTTTGAGGGAGGTTTTCGTTGCTTTGTTTTAATGGCAGTATACGAAAGCCACATTGACAGTATGTTTAGAATGGCAACAGGAAGACTTAAAGTTTCTACATCTACTTTGCTATATGAAATGTACCCTAGATCAAGTAACAGCATTATTAGACTTACGAATGAGATGAACACATTTTTCTTAAAATTTTCGGGGTTTACACACAGCCATACCAGCTGCAGAAGTAGCCCAACAAAAAACAACCAAAACTGAGTACGTATGACTAGAGCATTCCCAAAAAGTGCTTCTGTCAGTGATGTAAACACGTCAGAGATGCTCATCCATGCCACTTCTACTACTACCAAAAAATCGGAGACATATGGAGCTTCCCACAATTGCTCAACATCAAATCGAGAAAACACATCCTTCGAATAATTGCTACAAAGCTCTTTTGCTTTCTGCAGGTGTACACTGTTAATGAGCACATTCTGCCTCAAAACGTAGCAGATATTCAAAATGGAAAACACAACGATAGCATAAAAGACAATCTTTCTAAAATACATTCGTTTAAGCCCACTAGTCGTTTGGGTTAAGTCCATCATCGAGAA